ATCGATTACACCGTGCAGCACGAAAATCTTGAACCAATCGGCAGCGCCAAAATCTGAAAGCATATGATGGTGGAGAAAAATTCTAGTTGGGATTTGAATTATTAAGTAAGGTTTTGTTTAAACCTTAATTTATAATTTGTTCGACTTGGGGTAGAGTAATACGCACTGCTTTTCACGCGAACTACTTGAAATATAGATTTTCCTTCTTCAGCAATGTTTTCCTTCTAATAAGATCTGCAAAATTTAGCTTTGAGATAAAATGCAAAAAACAACAACATCATACTCAAAATGGCACATCTGTCAAACCAGTAAGGAAAGTAGTAAAGTCGGACGGGGCCGACTATATGATACCCATCACCACTATGGGTATATTAAACAGGACTTTTAGCATGAAATTGGATGAAATAAAATATGTGATTTTATCTAAATGTGAATCTACCTAGATCTATCCATAAAGTATGTAAATCGACTTCAAACAAATATAAATAGCTCATCCGTTGGGCTATGTCTGTACTTCTAGAAAACGCAACTATATAATTTTATGCCCAATTTTGTACGATGTGCAAACTTTGATGTCAATCTGACTAACATGAGGAGTTTGATGCCCAATTTACTTGAAATCGGGCGAAAATATATATGGTGCGTCAATTACTTAAAATCAAACTATAATAAAAGGCGCTATATCTATCTAAATCTGGACCGATTTTCACGAAACTTGACAGACATCATTCTAGACCTAAATGATTAGGCTGTACCAAATTTCGTGCAAATCGAAAGATATATAGGGACTTTGGGGCGATATGGGAGATATATCTAAATCAGGACCGATTTTCATGAAACTTGGCAGACATCATTCTAGGCTCAATTAAGTACGTTATGCCAAATTTCGTGCAAATCGAAGGATATATAGGGACTTTGGTGCACCATTTACATGGAATCGGACGAAACTATATATGGGAGCTATATCTAAATCTGGACCGATTTTTACGAAACTTGGCAGACATCATTCTAGACCTAAATGATTAGGATGCACCAAATTTCGTGCAAATGGAAAGATATATAGGGACCGTTTACATTAAATCGGTTAAATATATATATATGGGAGCTATATCTAAATCTGAACCGATTTTTCCCAATTTCAATAGGGCCGAATAAGTGACCTATGCCAAATTTCATCCAATTCGGATCATAAATGCGACTTGTACTTTGTTTACAATTTAACATAGACAGACGGACGGACATGCATAAATCGACTTAGAAAGTGATTCTATGAATATTCTCAAAAGGAACCATGGGTCTATCTCTATTATTTTTGCCTGTTACAAACATATGCACAAAGACATAATACCCTTCACCACAGTGTGGTGAAGGGTATACAAAAAGCATACATTTCCGAAGCTTTATTCTTGATTCGCACTGGCTTTACTATTAATTCGTCAAACAATAATAACAAAATTTGCTTTGCAATTTTTTTCGCTACAACATATTCATATTCACCCTGTCCAAATAAAGATACATATAGTTATAAATTATCGACGATAGATGAAATATCTATGCCTTTTTTACAAAGTCAATATGTTTCTAAAAATCTACGTAATTTAAGATCAATTAAAAGTCCAGGTCCGGATGGCATTCCTAGCATAATTCTAAAGTACTGTTCAGATACATTAGCTATCCCTTTAACGCTATTGTTCAATTATTCCCTGAAATATTGTAATTTTCCGACCTTCTGGAAGAAATCCTATATAGTTCCTTTACACAAATCTGGTAGCTTAACTAATGTCTCGAATTATAGAGGAATTGCTAAATTGAGTGCAATTCCAAAATTATTCGAAAAACTGATTACTGATGTAATTTCTCATAAAGTTCAGCCAATCTTAAGTCCATATCAACATGGTTTTCGTAGTGGCCTCTCAACCATTACCAATCTTATTCAATTTTCCTCAACCGTCATAAAAGGTTTTATTCAGCGTAATCAAACCGACACGATTTACACTGACTTCAGTAAAGCTTTTGACAGGGTTAACCATGAACTTTTAATATATAAATTAAATCAAATTGGTTTCAGTATAAATTTAGTTAAATGGATATCATCTTATTTGAGAAATAGATCACAGGTAGTTTTGTTTGATGATTGTCTCTCCAAATCCATTAATGTTCCTTCCGGTGTTCCCCAAGGAAGTCATTTAGGTCCACTCCTCTTTCTTCTATTTATAAATGATTTACCAAATGCAATAATCCACTCCAAATTGCTAATGTATGCTGACGATGTCAAGTTGTTTATCACCCATAACTCCATGAAGCAAGTTGATTTACTTCAAAATGATTTAAATAACCTTTTTCAATGGTGCGAATTAAACTGTATGGATTTAAACCTAAACAAATGTAAGCATATGTGTTTTTCCAGATCTTCTACTTTAACAAGGCAATACAATATTAATGGTACTGTTTTATCAACTGTAGATTCATTTGTTGATCTTGGTATTTTAATGGATCCAAAATTAAATTTTAATAATCATATCATTTCTATGGTAAACAAAGCCCACGGTGTCTTAGGATTTATAAAACGATGGGCTAAAGAATTCTCTGATCCCTACATTACAAAACAACTTTTTACATCTCTTGTGCGACCCATATTAGAATATGGTTCTGTTGTATGGGATCCCCAATATACAATATATTCCGATAAAATTGAATCAGTGCAGAAACAATTTCTAATTTTTGCACTGAGAGGTTTACATTGGAATAGTGACTTTGTGTTGCCTTCTTACACTAGCAGGTTAAAATTAATTCGATTGCCTACATTAAAAAGTAGACGTATTATGTTGAACACTATGATAGTAATTAAAATACTAAACGGTAATATACCCTCAGACTTCCTAATTTCATCCATTAGAATAAATGTTCCTTTTCGATCAAGTAGATATTATCAACCATTATACGTAGATTTTCATCGCACAAATTATTCTATGGGAGATCCACTTAGTAAAATGTGTATTGATTTCAATTCTGTGTATTCTAACGTAGACTTTTGCATGAATATTGAACTAATAAAATCTAATATAATCATATTTTTAAATGAATAATACAACTTAATAACAAACTGGCTGTTGAAGTAGATTTCTGACCCAAATATAGATTCGATTCGTTTCAAACAGCTGGACAATGTATAAAAAATCTAGACAAAAACTACTAAATCAGTGAACAACGGTAATTTTAACCTACTAAATATTTTGTCATGTTCGGCTTAAAAGTGTGGACTCAAGACAAAAAGATAAAACAATAACAACTATAGGGGTCGTATTAGACCATAACCGGAATATCCGTTTAAATATCACAGTGATCAGCGATATATTCACATCTTCTAGTGTGACAATATTGAAAATGAACTGTCCTCTTGGATGAACTGTCATATTTTTCGGTCTATATTCTAGGGAGTAAATATTAGGTTGAAGAAAAAAGTAATATAATTTGTTTGCCATTTTATAGGTAACTTCATAATACCTCTCTCATAGAAATCCTCCTCTCTATTTGCAAAAAGCTCGAGTAGTTGATTTTCACAATCCTCTCCAGATGCCAATTTTTTTTTTCATTAAAGAAATTTTGCAATGCAAGAAAAATATGATTATCTATTGGTGCCAAGTCCCAACCAAGCTCCCGACAGCTCTGGCGAGTGTCTGTAGATGTTGTCCTGGTGGAACACACCACCTCTCCTATTGGCAAATTCCGGCAGTTTCTGGTCAATATATATCTTCAAACGGTCTCATTTTTGATAGTAGAGATCAGAATTTAGCTTTTGGCCATATGGAAGCCACTTATAATAAATAATCTCCTTCCAGTCCCACCTCTCTTTGACCAAGATCGTTTTCCCACATGGTTATCATATGTGATCCATTTCTCATCTTCAGTCACCATCCGTTTAAGAAATGGGTCTATATCCGTTTGGCCAAGGCTTCGCAGATGGAAATCCGATCTATCCTAGTTTTTTCTGTTAATTGGTGTGGCACTCAAACATCAAATTTCATCCAAATCGGATCATAAATGCGACCTGAACTTTGCTCACAAAAATATATGGACGAACGGACCGATAGACGGACATGCATAAATCGACTAAGAAAGTGATTCTATGCTTATTCTCATGGGTCTATCTCGATTCGTTTCGCCTGTTACAAACATATGCACAAAGACTTAATACCCTGTACCACTGTTTTGAATGTATAAATACCCGGACAATTTTGAACACTTTTAGAAACATTTTTGATCCTAAGTAGTAGAGGTCATGTAATAAGCAATTTTTTAAATATGCCCATTTTTATAAGTATATAAGTGATGATGACGATAATAATTTAAGTCGATTTGTAATTAAAATGATTCACAAATACATCTGAAATTTAGCATTTCAGTTAGCATTTTCTACTCCTCCACATACTTCATCTTTACTTTTTATTAGAAAAATGTGTATTAACTTCACAAAAGAATTTATTTTATCTACCAAAAACTTCCCATTGACAAATAAAGAAAAATTGAATTTAAAGCCCAATTTTGTTATCCAAAGTAAGTAAGCAAGCAAGAGAAAAAAAAACTGGACATATCCACTTACTTCCAAAAAGTCAATGACTGCTTCCTTTTTAGGGGATTGGCAGTGATGACAGGGAAAATGTTGAAAAACCTAATCAATGATTTTTTATGACTTCTTTGGCCTGCAAAAAAGTCAAAAGTTAACTGAAGCATTAAAACCCGTTCATGCTGCTGCTTTTTTGTTGTTGCTCTCCCATTCTCTGGGACTATAACAAACTAATAAAGTTTCAACATCTTCCTTGTGGAAGTGGAACAAACATAAAAAACCTAGGAGGACAGCTAACTTTATTTGCAACTCTTTGTCTATGTATGTGTGTGTACATGTGTATATTTACTTCGTTTATTTCACTGACAGTTTTTTTCTGTTTTGTTTTCTTTGTTCTCTCCCCGTTTGTTTTATTTTTTCTGTTTCGGTAATTTAGATTCTGGAATCGCAAAGGTCCAGTGAAAGAAATTTCAACTCCAGTGATGACACCAATAACAATGGCGATGAAGCAAATAGCCCTGGCATTGTTTACATGACCCAGGTGAGACCGGGTCATGTCGATGGGGTTACAAAAGTGGATAATTTAAGAAAAACTTTTAATAAGAAGGACATCTTTAAAGAGACGAAGAAGAAGCCAAAAACGAAATTTAATTCCGATGGGAAACAATCATGGAACCAACAGCCGGATGTTAAATATGAGTCCACAAGTCCTCGCTACACATATGATTTCCCCGAAACAGATCTCTCATCCTTTACGGCTATGGACAATTATGAAGATGCCATTGATGATGATGAGGAGGATGACGACGATGGCAGTGCAGAATATGAACGTTTTAAATATATGCATGAAAAGAAATTACGTGAACAAAAAGAACGTGAAGAGCAACAACAGCGGGAACAGCAAAAACAACAGCTGCAACAAAAACTTCATCATCAACAGCAAGAGACATCAGCAGCAGCAACAACGGATGTAGATAATAAAGAAGAGGGAGGCAGGGGACAGATGTCACTAATAAAGAAATTAAATGAAAGGAAATTTAATAAACCTTCCTTGAATGAAAACGAAAAATTGTCCACGAAGGATGAAAATGACCAGAGAGAAAATGACCACCACCATGGCGACGATGCCGACAACGGTAGCTATGACAGCAGCAGCATCAGCACTGACAATGATGAAGACAATACCTATAATGACAGTAAAGCTGATAAAAATGTTGATGTTGACACTGATGACAATGGCGCCAATATTGATTATGATAGGCAGCCGATATGGGAACAAACCCAACAGCAACAGCAGCAACAAACTCAACCATCACAAAGGCAAATATCAGAACAACAATCTCAGGATGCCATTGGTGATATAGCCGCCGAGGAAAACGATGAAAATCAAAGTTCTTGGCAAGTGAGCAAAATTGAAGATGAAGTGAAAGATTCCCGTCCCAATATGTTCATACCACGTAAAATGAAACGACATAATGGCGCAGCACGTTTGGATGATGCCACCAATCGATATACACGCATTAAACAGGAACGTCAACAACAGGAACAGTCGCTACAACATCAACGCCATGCCACGGCTCCACTACAAACCACCATTGCAAACGGTGACAACAATTCAAAAGACGACGGCGACAGTAACTTTGACAGCCAAGAGGAATATATGTCTCACTATCGTGCGGCAACATCAGGAGTAGCAAAAGAAACAAATTTCCAAAAATCCCATTATGGTCGAACAAATGGAAATGTCTCACAACCGGATAGCAGTGAAGGTCGTCAACAACAGTCACAACCACACCAACAGCATTTGATGTCGTCGTTACAAAACAGCCAAGCTAGTTCTGAATACAGTTTCAATGCTAAGGGTAATAACAACGCGGTTGAAGGCCTGAAGTCAAATGAACAGCAAAATGATCAAAGCGGCAATAGAGGTTAGTAGATTTTTTCAATTCATTTTCGTAATTATCATAAATAATAAATTAGTATTATGTACATGAAAAAAAGCGTTAGCAATTCAATTATTTGAATTCCAAAATGTTACTAAAAATGCTCTCTATGCTGGATATTTTCAAAACCATGTACTAACATATTCGTAATTTTTTAGAAGAATACACGACATTAATTAATAAACTTTATTTGCATCTACCAAGTAATACTTAGTAGATGCAGTGTTGCCAATTTAAAAGTGATCTAGCAACTAACACTTTTTTAAAATTTTTAATTTGTTCCAGGCTTAATTCAAAAATGTGGGTATCATCCAAAAAAAAAAAAAAATTCGGTTTTTTCACATTGAAGTTTCCGTATGATTCAAATCAATGAACTTGATTTTTCAAGGTTTAGAGAGACATCCATAAGTCTTTGTTCATTTTATTAGAAAAATATTCATCGATCATTATCAAAACAGCTTTTTCGTTGACTAGATTCCCTGTATTTATTGGTGTTCGGGTTTAAAAAGAGGCCTCTAAGCGACTAGAAAAACTACTCTTTTTTGGTTCATTTCATCTCCTATGTAAGTCGCACTTCACCATAACCGAAACATAGTGCAAAATTGCATAGATATCAGGATGATATTTACGAACTCTAGTGTTGTAATAGTAATACTAAACAATATTAGAATAGTCCTCTGTAAATATGTATGTATAGCTCCCTCCGTCTTCTGGAATAAATGTATACGGCATAGAATGAAAATCTTGCAATTTCTGGCATAAAAGCCTTGGTCCATTTGATCCGGTCCATTTGTAATACTAAACAATATTAGAAAATCTTGTAATTTCTCGCACAAAAGGATTGGTCCATTTGATCCGCTCAAGATTTCTTAGCCTTCCTCATGCACAATTTTAAGATCTCTAGACCAGAAAAACAAATAAAAATGCTTTTGGCCAACTTCAAACACAATAAGTGTCTTCTCTGGTCAAAATCGGATATGCATGTGCTGTGTATTCAAATTCCTTAAATCAATCAGGACCTTTGTATGGGATTATGTGGTAATAAGTTCTTAGCCATGCCTAACTTTTTACACCCCTCACCATAATATTAACCAATTCTGATTATGTGCTCATACTTCCCAAAATTTCGAAATATGGGAGGAAACGTATATTGAACATTTGAAGATTTGATTTAACATCCTGCTGGAAAAGGTCAAATGAGAGGCAAAGGTGAACAGAAATGTCATTCTGTACACCGAAAATATGTTACTCGCACACGCTGATAACATCGACATAACTGGTCGAACGTTGCGAGCGATAAAAGCTACCTTTGGATAAATTTTGAAAATGTCTGCCAATGTGGGTCTAGCAGTAAATGGAGAGGAAATCAAGCTGATCATTTTAACAAGCAAGAAGTCTAATAGACTCGGACTAAATGTAATACTTGAAAGCTACAACTTTGAGGTAGTCAGAGATTTCATCTACCTCGGTAACACCATAAACAAAACAAATGACAACCGTTTTGGGATTCGGAGAAGGTTAGTATTGACCAGTAGATGCTTCTATGGTCTAGGTAATCAATTTAGATACAAGGTCACCTCTCACCAGACCAAACTCATACTCTACAAGACGCTAATACTCGTGCTGGTATATGAATCAGAAGTATGGGTACTTGCGCAAGCAGGTGAAGCATCTCCTGGAGTGTTTGAGAGAAAAAATCTCCGAAGGATCTATCGAATATTTTGGGATACCGTTACATGGGTGATATGCCATAACGCGGACCGACATATCCCATTTTTAGTACCAAGTATTGCCGACATAATTTGTGTAAAACTTCGAAATCGAGATAGGATTTTATTCTCATCAAGAAAATATATAACGTATGGAGTATACCGTGAATATTTCGAGATGTTGCAAACGGAATGACAAATTTAATATGCCATCCACCTTATGGTAGATAGTATAATGAAACAAAACATTTGTATGGGCGCTATTTAAAAAAAGTTTACCTATATTAAATAATTTCTGGAAAAATGTGTTTACACACCAATATCTTCTGGTAGGAAGATTTTACATCCCATAATAATGTAACTTTGGCCAATATTGATAATTTTGGCATAAAGATTTTCTCCTTATTGTGCATCCCAAAAATATAAAATTACTTTAAAACTCACAAAAATACCGAAATGTTGCACGTGGCGTTATATATGTGTAACCATAATCTATGGATCAATATTGATCATTTCTATTAGGAAGATTGTCTAACCTGTGAGAACTCAAAATGCGTCCTTGAGAATCATGGCCAAAAGCTTCAAATGTTTTGCCAAAAAATACCAAATTACAACCAATTAGGTTAAAAACGTGTTTGATTAAAAAACAGAGATACTTAATTTGATAGGAATTAAAGTTTGAAGTTTTCTTAGTAGAATAAATCCTGATGAGTAATTTTCTTCTGTAGAACAAATTGTGTGAAATAAGATTCTGCCAAGAATTTATAATGAACCACGCCATTGCAGTCGATGAAAACACATTCAACTGAGCGTAGGGTGCAGAACCAGCATCGCCATTCACACCTACTAAGCCTTAAAAATTTAAATAATGTCCCTATAAAAGTTCAAGTGAAAATCTTGACAACTCTTGCAGATATAGCCGATCTATTGTTTTAGCATCAAGTGACGGCAAGAATGGTGTTTTTACAACTGGCGGGCACAATTTTTATACATTTCTCTGTGGGTATATAACTATTGTATGAACTCTCAATATTTAAGATAGAGCTCTGAAATATTACACAACCATTGCTAGTACTCTTAGGATGTTTAGTATTGCAAATGGGACACATCGGTCCACTTAAGATGTAGCATCCACAGTAGCTCCCAATATTCGATTTGGACTCGTTTTCCAACCGACTTGGCTGTAATTTGGGTTCTCATTGTTTAGCACATCTCCGTGCCACAAATTATAAAAAATTTAGCCAAGTTTCAGGATAGGTCCCATATAACGGTACCCCCAATATTCGGTATTATAGGGATTTTAGATTCGCGTTAAAAAACGTTTTCGAAAAACGGATTTTAAGTTTGTAAAGCACACTTGTCTTCACTTGATTCTGACGCCTTAATCGATGATACGTCCAAGAGTTTTTGAGATTTTCGTTTTCAAATTTAAATGGGGCATTCTTCAATTTTTTTTAAACCTTTCATGTAATATTCTATGTCAACTGCGGGCTCATTGATATAAATGCAATTCTTTCATTATTACCACAATATTTTGTAATTGGCTTACTTGCGTTTGTAAAACTGACCCAGTTGAAAACTCCATGAACTTCGAATAATAACAATGGACCCTCGTAAAATTTTAATACGATCGGCGAATAATAAAAACCGTAGGTTCTGTGACCAATCCCACTTTAGAAAAACCAATCATTTCTGTTCTTTCTTTATCTCTCATATTGTGCCAATCGATTTCTATATATGTGTATATTCTGTCTATATTATTCACCATTTTCATGTTTCGCTCCTCGTCTATTCTTCCGGCCATTTAAATTGTCTCTTAACCACTATTTGCGGTTTAGCCGCTGTCAGCGAAACGTTAACAGTTTCTTGTTAATGATAAAAATGAAGTTGGTTTCGTGGTTTTGAAGATGACAACCACCAAAGGAAAACCCATTTATAATCAGCATTAAATGACAACAATGAAATGTGGCATGACAAGGAACGAATACATAAAAGGAAGCAAACAATTTTGAATTGAATAATTTAATTTGTAGTAGAAACGTACTTTTGAGGGAAGATTTATAATGAAAAACCAAGAATGAAGAGAGGTGTAAATTTTGTTGGGCCTGCAAACTTTTAAAATATGTGATAAAAATGTGCTATAAGGTTTGTAAAAAATATACGATAATAACTTGTTAGTCAATATGGAATTCTAAAGCTAATACATAAATAGTTAATACACAATGAAATTTTATAAAATTCCAACACTGTGCCAATAATATATGTGTGGCTGAAGCAAAAGAAACAGAATTTAATATTAAACAATTTGTATGTATGTGCATTCCACTGTTACGCACAATCAATAACAGTTGTCGGGAAAATGATTGTGGTGTGATTGTAAGTGGCTATTTCCGTTTTGTTGTCGTTATGTCATGAAATATTCAAAAGCATTTCAATTGCAAATAACAATGTCATTTATATATGTATATTTCATATACATTCATACACTACAATAATAAAACCATACAGGGCAAAGACAATGCGAAATAACAATAAGAAACCTTGAATATGAAATATTCATCATTATATTAAAAAAATACACGTTATAGTATTACAAAAAAATATATATGTATATGAAATTACAATTAAAAACTATAATCAAAGGATCAAATATGATATGTCAATTATATTATTATTGAGTTTTGAATTTAGTGATAGATATTAATCGTATAGAACTAAAAATCTAGTTAAGCGGAATCTACAATGCGATAACATATTACAAACTTCGACTTAATTTTTTCTCATAAGGAATACAACATTTGGCATTTATAAAAATATTGACCATATGCGGAGGTGCTTCAAACTATTTGTGGCTGAAATCTTGCACAACCCCTTAATTTTCCAGATAAAATGCTAGGTGAATTGAATTTTTCTTAAGCTGAATTGGGTATACATAGTGGTAAAAGTTAGCTGAATTAAGTTTTTATATGAAAAGGTAGCGAGAATTGAAGTTCGCTAAATCGTTGTTTCATATTATAAAAGTTAGCTAAATAGAGTTTTTCAATAGAAAAATTTAGCTGAATAGCTTTTCTATAGAAAAATATTTACTGAATCAGATACTTGAATAGAAAAAATAAGCCAAGTTATGTTTTACCATCAAATTCGTTGAAGAATTTTGCAATAGAATATGTTTAAATAGACCCCACATGATAATCTGGTCCATTTTAAATCTGTTGACGGCTCTAGTCTTATATTTGATTTTTACTTAATGGGCTCATGTAAAAGGAAGACATTAATATCAATACGATTTGTTGGCCCGTCAATGATAATCAAAATTGCTCATTTAGCGCCGGTAAATTAAGAAATCCTCAACCAATCGATATATGTTTCTGACATCTTGCAAAAACTTAGCCTATATCTGTAGATATTAGTGGGATCCGATCATGTTTTGCAATGCTCCCATATAATAGTACCCCCGTTTTTCCTATCAAAAGGGAAAATTAAAAAAAAAGTGAAATCGAAATTTGAGTCATGAAAGGGTCTGTAATTGATGTGATTTTCGCCTCCTTGATATGTTCCAGCTTACAAATATATTTTGTTTTGTAACTAATAGTAAAATTCGATGTAGAATAATTTTGTCTTTTACCAAATACTCTTAAGATGCAGTCTTTTTGAAGATTTTCAGACATTATATAGTAAAACTTTATGGTGAAATCCCGTTTAAATGAGTTTTTAAAAATTTCCTGAATTGTGGACTTCAGAGAGTCGACAGAAATGCAAGAATTTCCAGAAATCTTAATACGAATATTTTCCAAGGTCTTGGAAATAGGAAATTTTGCCCCGCCGTATCTAATCTCTTGACGCATACTTCCAAAATGCTGATATTTCTATATTTAGCTCTTCTAACATAATTATTTGGAATTTAATGATAATTATTTTTTGTGTTCCACAGTGTACGAGCGTCTTTTTTGAACATCTGTTTTCGTATGAAAGAGTTGCCAGATCGAACCAAAATTTAACATGTGTTCATAACAGAGATGGAAGTTTCCAAAACACTTAACTTTATGTTTATACCGCGCTTTTTGTGCTAGTCTAAGAAGTTTCCGAACTGCCCACGTAAGATATTGCGAAAATTATAAATTATGGCAAAAAAATGGGACTTCTACTCCATAATACGCCATGTTAAATTGGTTGATGTTCGGGCCATAATTGTGAACCGTTGTTGGGCGCGAAACGAAAAACGAAAAGTTTCCAAACGTTTGCCGAGCGAAATGATCTATGACGAGTGGCGGTGGTGGTTGTTCAAAACAACCACCGAAGTCCCAACAACAGAAAACAAAATGCACATCAACAAACAAACATAACACGACAAATTATCATTCGAGCAAACGTTTGAAAACGTTTCATTTTCGTTTAACTCCCAAACGTTTCAACTAAACATCGACAAACAGAAGTACACTAAAGCAATCGTACCGTTTTATTCTTTTTGATTTGAAAAGTTTGTGGTTTTGTTTGGTACTAGGAACGAAACGATTCAAACCAAATGAAAAGTTTGTGAATTTGTGTGATTCGTACGGGTATCGTACTGTTTGTTTACGTTCTCTGGTTATGACTATGGCTGATGTAATATTTTCGTTACGTTACAACATTTTGGGGCCATACAAACTTATAATACCCTCACAATATACCTGTTAGGGACATAATAAAATGTTATATATATCAACCAAAATATTTCCATTAACATGAAAAAGGTGTAGTAAATTTCACACAATTTTTACAAAACAACATAGTCAATCAATGAAGTAATAGGTTGTAAGACATTTTATCCTCAGCTCAATAAAAACTATACTCCATAAAAATTTTGTGTGAGAATTATTTATCGCATAGTGCTAAAGTGGTATGATCTTAGTATAATTTCCCAAGAAACTTGAATTCCCTTTGTGCTAAATAATTTTACTCTTCTTTTTACGTTACGAATCATCCTGAAATATTACTAACATTTTCTTTTTCCCGCCTTTTCTTCTTTCCGATTCTTTACATGTATCGCACATTAAAATTGCAACAACCAAAACGAATGCCATAAAATTTCACCAACGACGGCTGCGACAATTGCAACAATTATTGCCCAAAATCCCGGATTATAAACAGAAATGGAAATGGAAACAGTGGCCAAAACGACACCAGCGACAGCTATCGCCACCGCCACCACCAACACGTACGAACAAGACGAGGAAAATAAACGACTATCGCTGTTCGAAAGGGAGAAATCTTTAAGACGCAATAGTAAGCATTATGGTCATAAGATACATAAAAAGAAATATAAGGATTATCAGCATTACTATTCGGCCATGATGATGCGAAGGCAGCATCCCACGATGACGACAACAGTGGCTGCGCAGACCACAACCGCTGAGATGACAACCTCCACCCCACGGACGGAGAGTCCCAGAAAAACAGCAACGGTAACAAAACTCATAAAAATGGATGACACCAACCGTCATGGCGATGAAGATAACTTAAGGTATCATAAGAAATTAAAAATGGAACGCGGTAAGGCTGTGCCACCCTCACCGATATTTGTATTAAAATCGGTAAGGAATGGTGGCGACAAGGCAACAACAATGCATGGGGTATCGGCCAGCAATAAGCCATTTTACGAAGGACAAATCAATTATTATTTGGAAACTGAGGATGATGATGATGCTCGGGCCAGTGAGGCGCGATTCATTACCAAAGGTGATCGCATGGACACGAACAATGATTGGTATCGAAAGCTGAGTCCGGTTTTGAGAAATGGTGTGAAGACTACGGTGCATCAGGAGGATCGGGCGTCGGGTAGTGGTATGGGAAGACCAACAGGTGGTGGTTATACACCCTATCATCACATACGTAACCATCATCAGAAACATCACCACCATCATCAGCAGCATAACCAACATAACCACCATCATCATTCACGCAACCATGCCTATCAGCGTAAAATGATACCCAAAAAAGCGATGGCGGCCACGGCTACCACAACCCCAATGCCACCACCATCACGCAAACATGCCACCACACCCGAAGAGCCCAGAGTCCATGAGTTGGTCCATCAAATTACCGATCTAAAGGAATTCGAACGTTACTATGCCAAATGGCCACACTTAGCCCGCGTGCAATCACAACTGCACGACGAACAACTAAGGGAGCAGTTAGAATTACAAAATCTCCAAAAACAACAATTGGGCAACTATCAGGATTATGAATATGATGAAGATTACTTTGAGGCTATAAGGACACCCTTGGGTGGCAATCGTGATGTCGTCGACAATGCGGAAGAAAATCTACCACCTTATATACGTAAATACAATAGACGTAATAAACAGTTGTTGGATCTGCTGGAGGGTACTCTGCCGCCACCCACAAGACCACCACAACAATTGCGATGGGCCGGCTCGAAACTGCAACCAGGCCCTCGTGATTCAAGTGGCAGTGTGGGCAGTATGTCGGTGCGTATCGATGATGATTATCTAAAGGAGAAACGTAAACGTTATCATCAGCGCCAGAAGCAAATTCATGATTTATTTGAACAACAACGGGTAACCACCAGCACCACCACCACTACACCTAAGACCACAACAACAATTGCGACAATGTTGGTAGCATCACCTTATGCCGGCAGTTCGTCGCATAGGGAAAACGACAATGCCAGCAATAATAGTGAACCAGAACTTGAAAATCATTTCCCAGATGAAGATGTTAGTGTTTCTATGGAAACAGAAGAGGAGCAGGCACCGAATCAGGACACAAATTGGCAAAAGGAAATTGCAAGTAAATCAACATCGTCATCAAAATCAACAAAAACAAGAACAACAGCAACAGGATTTTCGGCATTTTCATCAAACACAGGAAATTCACCAATTCCCTGGCAAATGGAAAAATTAATAACACCAGCAACACAGCAACAACAACAACAAGGAGGGGGAGGTGTACAGGTGGCAACGGCTGCGGGTACAGCACAGGTGGCCCCAGCAACACCTAAACCAGCAATCTTCAAATTACCCTCATATCCCTCAATTGCTGGTAGTTACATACAACGCCCGAGGTCACGTAGTGCCCAATTTGCACCCAGTTCTGGTTCAGAATTTCGACGTGTCACACCTTCAATTTATGGAAACAGTAATCAAAATAATTTCATCAATGCTGGTGGTTTTGTGGCCTACAATGGCCACGGTTTAGGGCCCAAATCGACAACGGCCCGTTTCAATGGCAGCCAGAATAAAACTATCCCTACCACCATTCTCAAACCATCCACCAACATTTCAAATACGTCCAAGAGTAATACCTCTTCTTCAGCATCGTCGTCTTCATCCACACGTTCATCGTCGAGGTCATCATCATCACCGGCTTCTGTTAGTAATTCATTTGTATACCATCGTGTCGTGGATGCCTCACCCCGTTTGGTTGGGGCCGGACTAACGGGACGCAAACAGCGTCTGCCGTTTGTTGCCATCACCGATCGTCGTTTGGAAACGTCAAAGAAATCCTTAATGGATCATCAGAAAGACTTTGAACAAAATCACTATCCGTTGCCTTAAATATAATAACAAAAAAGAAAAAAACAGAAACAAAAAATAAGAAAATACAAATAAATAGAAAATGAAAATAAATCCTTAAAAGGTAGAGCAAAGAAAATAAACTCTCCCCCCACACAAAAATGAAAACTGTAACTAAAAACTACACTTTTAGTTGTTCGTCTCAATGGGAGACACAGTTGTAGCAGTGAATTTATATCCACAACAATCACACAAATACACACAGAGAAAGGTAAAAACGCTGAAATAAATCTATTAGGGTGCACATATCTATTTAAAAACGTAAAATTAATAAAACTTTATATTAAGTTAATTTTTAATTAAAAAATAAATCCATTAATGGTAATATCCCTAATAGCTTCAGTTTATTTTTTATTTTTCAATTTTAATTTATTACGTTCGTCAATGTGAATATATAATTAAAACGTTTAGTATTACAATAAAAATGTATAATAATAAAAAGAATAACAACAGCAACAACAACATAAAATCAATCGTAAATGTAAGTACAGACAGAAACACGAACGCACACACACATAATGCAAGGGTGTAATAAAATGTATTTAAAATTAAATCTCGAGGTTACCGGACTAGAAAGAGTTTTATTACGAAACATGTTCATTGGAATTCTGGCTAGAGGGTTAACGTGACTTGTGGCTTACTCCTGTACTCATACTTTCCAAAATGTTTGTGTAGATAAAAATTGTTTAATTTTACAAAGGATTATCTATATTTTATGATTACAGTACATGAATCAGTAATTTCCTGTTCCCAAGGAAGGTCGAATATAAAAATTAACCTTAGTAACATTTAAAAGAGAAACACAAAGATAAACTAAAATAAATAAGTTCATAAATAATTCATAATTGATATTTTATGAACAGAGTTCATAAACCAATAACTTCACAGGGAGTAAAATTAAAAAATGATCTAAAAAATGAAACTAATATTTTCAGTCAGAAAAACACCTTTGGCCCCCGCTAATGATGTAGTTTCTAAGGATCACTATATGATCTACATCATCTATTTTTTATTTGATAATAACAAATTAATAAAATAAAAACATTCCTAAAATTTATGAATACAGTCCATAAACCAATAAATTACAAATGAAAGAATTCAAAAATGAATCTTAGATTTACCCAAAAAGGTACTTAAGGACTCAGGACTGACGCACACAGGTCTGCCTCTTCAGTTCGTATCGTTCATAAACTGTCGCCATATTTGGATTGAAATATGTTATGTTTTTTTCCTATTACTTCTAGCATAGGGTTTCCACAAATCGTCGCCATCTTACTCGAAAACTCCTTGTAGATAATTGGTCTATTGTAACCTGTCCTCGGTGATGTGGCTGAAATCTATAGTTGCATAGAAATAACAAATCCTCGAATTTTATACTGTGTTTGGGGCTTGTGCTTATTTGGTGTTGCCATTTTTCTCTGGGTGGCGCCATCTTCTGTCATTTTAATTTTGTGTTAAAATGTAAGGGGGCTTCGGATCATTTCATCCTGAAGTGATGTAGGGATCTTTATTTGAAACCCTCATTGAAGCGATTTTTCTTCTTCGGTGGGATTCGAACTCAAAATATTTGTCTATATATTATGAACACGATTCATAAAACAAAAACATACAAATGAGAGTATTAACCTTAAATTTCCAACCGAAAAGGTATTTAAGGATTCTCCTGAAGAATTATTTGGTGTACTATGATATTAAGAAGTTCAGCAAGAGTAATATTTTATTGTTTTACAACATGTAAAGAATAAATCTTGATATTCAGGAATTCTGAGCATAATTGTTTCAGTGATAAAAAAGGACTTCTACATTGATGCACAAAGGTAGGTTTCTCCCCCACAGTATTGTTCATATCTGAACTGAGATATGTTATCATTTTTTCCTATTACTTCTCTAGGGAGCATAGGGTTTGCTCTGGGTGGCGCCTTCTTTTGACTTTCATATTTCGTGTTACAATGTAAGGCCTCTGTTGATGAATAATTTCGTTTACTTTCGAATCTAAAGGAATTCTTTTTAAGGATTTGTGCGCATAGTTTATCAAGACCGCTCGCACTTAATTCGTTACATGTTTCCGTGAGAGAGAAAAGGAACCTTCATTTGTTCTACATTATAGACGCAGAATATCCTTCGTAAACTGTTTGGATTGAGAGGGTTTCCACAAAACATCATCATTTTACTCGGCATATCCTTATCGTGGTTTCGTTAATCATTTCATTTCTTTCAGCTATGAGTATTATCGGTCTGTTGTAACCCTTTCTAGGTAATGGGACTGTCATCTATAGTTTTCTAGAAACAACACCTCCTTGCATTTTTTTATAGTGGTTGGAGTCTTTGCTTTTTTGTGATGTCATTTTCCTCTGGGGGGCGCCATCTCCTGGCATTTTGTGTTACAACGTAGGGAGCTTCGGATAATTTCATGTGGACGTAATGTACAAATCTTTATTCGAAAATCACATTGAATTGATTTTTTTCTTTAATTATTGCGAATGAAAAAACTGTAACGGCACAATTTACGGCACCACTACGTAACTTCTACTAAAACTCCATCATTTCGCGAGGTTTGCATTTGGTAAAATTTCCGGATATCAATATACTCTATTCTGCGCAAAATTTAGTACTTAGTAGTTGTCCAGATCCCCTTTACCATGTACAATTTCGTGATGTTTATGTTATAATTTTGGCAATTAAAAAGACCACATAATCAGACGAAAAAAAATTTTGGTCAAAATGAGCATGTTGATCTTTGTTCAAAAGGTCATGTGGAAACTGCTCCGCCTGAGCAAAGTAGGACGCCGATACTTAATGGTTGTGAAATCTTCGGAAATATTCGAAAAACGTATTATTGTGAACCACGGCAACGCGAAGATTTCAATTTTGTATTTTGTTTTCTAAGAGAATAAATAGGCAAAAGATTGATATAGACCTCATGTAAAGGTCCCTACCGATTAGGTGTGTTGAATGCGAATGTATAAAAAATTCACTTCAGCCGAACTTAACCTGGCTTTCATTGATTAATTTAGAAATTTAAGTTACAATGTGTTTATTATTCCAATAAGAGGACCGATATTGGAACCTGGCCAAGTACTTCTATAAACAACAACAACAACAAATTTTCAAATAATTTGTGTACCCTACTGTGTGATTGGTACACCTCTGATAATTTGTAAACCATATTTTTTCATATAATGAGTGAAACTATTGTGTTATTCTCTTTTTAAATCATTTAAATCATATTACTAAATTTACAAAATGTATTCAGAAACTGATTTCGAAGATTACCTTCAAAACAATCATTCATTTCGACCTCTTAATACACAAATTGTTACGTTATTAAGTCTCTTCAAAAATTTTTGTAAATAGGTCGGGAACATTTTAGTTGTCTATCTCTTTATAATTTGTCTGTTTTTCCGTGCTCTGAGAAAATTACTAACCCATTGTATGGATTCTATGTAAAAACTTGAACCTAAATCCAAACGTTTCCAAATATTAGGTTGGGGAAAAAATCCATTATTTTTTGGGCAGATGGCTGTACTGATAGATTTCTCGTAAAGAATCGATCAAACAATTTCAGATTGGTATTGTGTTCGTTGGAAGGGTGACATTTCGCCGAAAAAAATTGTTTTGCTGTTTTTTTGTTTGATGCAGTTGTGAGTTACAGGGTGTTAAAAATGGAAGTGAACAAAGAGAAAATTCGGTACATTTTACAGATTTTCGTTGACAAATGCGAAAATGCTAGCCAAGCGACTAAAATTGTGAATGGTGTTTATGATTCCGATACTGTAACAGCCAATTATGTGCAATTTTATAGACGCACCTCACACAGGTAGGTCCGTCGTCGATAAAATCGGAGAAATGATCGCAGTTGACCGGCATGTTAGCAGTCGTAACATCGCTCAGAAGCTAAAAATCGTTCATATCTGAACTGAGATATGTTATCATTTTTTCCTATTACTTCTCTAGGGAGCATAGGGTTTGCTCTGGGTGGCGCCTTCTTTTGACTTTCATATTTCGTGTTACAATGTAAGGCCTCTGTTGATGAATAATTTCGTTTACTTTCGAATCTAAAGGAATTCTTTTTAAGGATTTGTGCGCATAGTTTATCAAGACCGCTCGCACTTAATTCGTTACATGTTTCCGTGAGAGAGAAAAGGAACCTTCATTTGTTCTACATTATAGACGCAGAATATCCTTCATAAACTGTCGCCATATTTGGATTGAGAGGGTTTCCACAAAACATCACCATTTTACAAGGCATATCCTTATCGTAGTTTTGTTAATCATTTCATTTCTTTCAGCTATGAGTATTATCGGTCTGTTGTAACCCTTTCTAGGTAATGGGACTGTCATCTATAGTTTTCTAGAAACAACACCTACTTGCATTTTTTATAGTGGTTGGAGTCTTTGCTTTTTTTGTGATGTCATTTTCCTCTGGGGGGCGCCATCTCCTGGCATTTTGTGTTACAACGTAGGGAGCTTCGGATAATTTCATGTGGACGTAATGTACAAATCTTTATTCGAAAATCACATTGAATTGATTTTTTTCTTAAATTATTGCGAATGAAAAAACTGTAACGGCACAATTTACGGCACCACTACGTAACTTCTACTAAAACTCCATCATTTCGCGAGGTTTGCATTTGGTAAAATTTCCGGATATCAATATACTCTATTCTGCGCAAAATTTAGTACTTAGTAGTTGTCCAGATCCCCTTTACCATGTACAATTTCGTGATGTTTATGTTATAATTTTGGCAATTAAAAAGACCACATAATCAGACGAAAAAAAATTTTGGTCAAAATGAGCATGTTGATCTTTGTTCAAAAGGTCATGTGGAAACTGCTCCGCCTGAGCAAAGTAGGACGCCGATACTTAATGGTTGTGAAATCTTCGGAAATATTCGAAAAACGTATTATTGTGAACCACGGCAACGCGAAGATTTCAATTTTGTATTTTGTTTTCTAAGAGAATAAATAGGCAACATAAAATTCTACCAAAAGATTGATATAGACCTCATGTAAAGG